GTTTGTTTTTTTTTTTTTGTTTTTTGAGACAGGGTCTCACTTTGTAGTTGAGACTGACCTACCTGGAACTCACTATGTAGCGCAGGCTGGTCTCAAACTCACAGCGATCCTCCTGCCTCAGCCACCTGAGTGCTGGGATTACAGGCGTGTGCCACCATGCCCAGCTTAAAATATTTTGATGTCATTAAAATAAAAAATAAATATTATTCTGACTGTTCTTCTTTAGTCTAGTTTGGAACTTTATAAAGAAGATGGTGGCATCATTTGGCCTCTTCCTGATGTCATAATGTGTGTCAGGATGATATGGTGGTACTCACTGATAAAAATCCAGAATAACATTTCCATTAAGATTACACTGAAATGAAAAATAAAATTAAAAAAATGTCTGGCTATCCTTCCCATTTTGGCTTTATTAGGAGCTAATAATAGCTTTGTAATAATAGTTCCATATATAGTTCATCATTCCTGATTTGAGGATACCTTTTAAATTTCTTTGAAATGGGTGCCATATCATACTGTTTCCCCTATTAACCAACTAGTAGAAAAACTAGCAAAGGGAGTGAATGTATGATTTCTAGAGGCAGCATTATAAATTATCATAAAAAATTAGTCTCACCAGCAATTAAAAAAGCAAATTTAAATAGAAATATTATTCTTTCATCTAACAAATTGTCATCTTGGTAAGGAGAGAGCAGTGTGGTATTGGGAGTGAGTATAAATTGATAGACAAATTGAGGATAGCCATTGCATCATTAAGCAAGAGATTTAAAAATATTCATGTCCTTGACAGATACTTACTTATGGCATATTTAGTTTTAAGGAAAATATTGTGACACAAATAAAATATATACAAGAATGTGATTGTAATATTGTTTCTGTCTTAACCAATGAATGGTAACATACTTATAGAAATATGCTTGTATTTAATGTTTAAGAAATTGAATGAATGTTCATGTTATGTTTGAAATTATGTACCCATATATTTTGTGTTTTCAGTTTTATTTTAAATTGATAAATAATTATGTGATACAAAGTGATATTTTGCTATGTATATACAATATATTATGGGATGGTTAGATCATACACAAATAATATCATGACTATACTTAATGATGTAGTATAGTTTATATTCATAAAAACATACTGTAAAGTATATTTTAGGTACAGTTCTAAGACTTTTAAAGTGAATATACCAAAACAGTAACAGTGAGCTTTTTCTGGTGATGAGATTATATGTGATTATACTTTCCCTTATTGTGTTCCTTAATTTTCTGTAATTAATGTCTAGTACTTGTGGTAAAACCAATAAATGTTACTTTTTAAAAACTTACTTTGGGCTGGGGATTTAGCTTTAGTGGTGCCACTGCCTGCCTGACAAGTGCAAGGTCCTTAGTGTTCAATCTCCGGTACCAAAACAAACAAATAAAAAACTTACCCTTTTGAAACAGTTAAACATATATACAGAGTCCACCAAAAAAATGTATATGAAGAAAAGAAAAACTTGCATAAATATTTTAATACTAAAATGATTGAGACATCATGCGATTAACATGTTACCTTTGGCCTCTGTAATTATAAGAGGTGCTCAAAGTGGTGGCCATGAGCTTCTAGACATTTATTACTATGGCAGACTGCTGAAGTGTGTATACATTTTTTTGTTTTGTTTTGTTTTTTGTTTTTTTGGTACTGGGGATCGAACTCAGGTCCTTATGCTTTCAAGCCAGGCAGCAGAACAACTGAGCTAAATCCCCGGCCTAAGTGTGTATACATTTTTTTGAGGAATATATATTCTATCTCAGCATATAGTTAAGCTGATCTTGAACTCACTATGTAGCTCAGGCTGGCGTCGAACTCATGATGATCCTCCTGCCTCAGCCTCTGTAGTGTTGGCATTATAGGGATGTGCCACCATACCAGATGGTTACATATATTTTTATGAACCTTCAGGGTGAAATTCAGCTTGTAGTTATTTAAGCTTTGTGGTCAAGAATATTCACAGATGGGCTGGCGATTTAGTTCAGAGGTTCCACTGCCTGCCTTGCAAGTGCATTGACCCAAGGTTGATCCCCAGTACCAAAAAAGAATATTCTCAGAATCTCATAATAATGTACATGAAACAGATAAATTATAAAACCAGGGAAGACTCATATTCCAATAATAAAATATTTTACTGATTAAATCTACTTCTAAATTTTTTTGAAGTGATAGCATTTAACAGTAATCTAGCAATTTTTAATATGATACATTGGCCTGTGAGTATAGCTCAGTGGTCGAGTGCTTGCCTAGCAAGCTTCTTTCCCTAGCTAGCACTGCAAAAAAACAAAAATTATTAATTGTATTTACCATATTATAGCATAGATCTCCAGAATTTATTCATCCCATCTGATGTGTGTGTGTGTGTGTGTGTGTGTGTGTGTGTGTGTGTATTTCCTTTCTTTGGCTGATTTGTATTTAGTTGTATTTTTTCCCCTGCTTCCTAGAGATACAAAGTTAGGTTGCTCATTATTTTTACCTTTCTAATGCTAGCATTTACTGCTGTGAACTTCTCTCTTAAGACTGCTTGTCTTCCCTTCATGTCTCACTTCTCTTTTCCTCTTATTCTGACTTCTCTGGGATTGAATCTCCCAATAATACCTTGGCGTTTAATACTTACATAGTCGTCAGTGTTCAAGGGAACCGTGCTGAGATACCTGTGGACTACAGTTCTCAGAATCTCTTGCCAACTGTCTTCTGGGCAGGTTTGGCAAAAGTAGAATGATTTAATGGGAGACTGAAAAGAAGGAAAAAGAATTGAAGGTACCCTCATCTTCTGCACTTTACAGGACATCTCAAGTAGAAGCGGAATTTTTCCTTGACATGGGACATGGATTCCCAGCATTACTCATCTTTGAGTTGCCTTTCTTACATTGTACCCATCTACTGAACTGTATAAAGTGATCTCTTTTCTCCCTGACTAGATGCTCATAAAACATATAAGAATAAAAATTTAATTTTAGTTAACTGCTAAAAAAAAAAAAAAGGCCGCTTGTCTTTGTGATTGCTAGACAAAATACCCAGCACTCACAAATTAAGGGAGGGAAAGTTTATTTGGTTCACAGTTCATAGAGATTTCAGTCCATAGTTGGCCGGCTCCATGGCAGAGGAGAAACCGTTCATGGTGGCCAGAGGGTAGCAAAGCAGCGAGGGAGCAAGAGACCTGACCAGCTTCTTTCTGCCCCTTATATTGTATCCAGAGTACTGGGATTAGGGTGGTGCCAAAGCAGTCAGAGGGCTGGTTCAGTAATCACCCACCCTTAATACTAGCATTGCACCATCAATCAATCACACCCTAGATCCAGCCCCATCCAAGACTGCTTGAGGCTTTGGGGGACATCTAGACACAACCATGACACTGCTTTTGCTACAGCCCATAAGTTTGTGTATGTTAAACTTTCATTCACATTTGGCTTCAGATACTTTTGATTTACCTTTTAATTTCTTTACTGATGATTTGGGTGCTTTCAATGCTAGAGCTAAGGTTAGAAGGAAGAAGGCAAAAATGTTGGCCAGCGGATACGTAGGTTTAGGCATGCAGGATGAATAAGTTGTGATCTTAAGTACTTTCTTCATACATACAAAAAATTAAAACTGCAAGGTGGTAGTTACATTAATTACCCTGACTGTGGCAGTCATTTCATAATATATGTGGTTAATAAAACCTCACATTGTATACCATATATGTAATTTTTTTTTTTTTTTTTTTTTTGGTACCAGGGATTGAACTCGGGTCCTTGCGCTTGCAAGGCAGGCCACCAAACCGCTGAGCTAAATCCCTGGCCCCTATATATGTAATTTTTATTTGTCAAGTATACCTCAGCAAAACCTGGACAAAAAAGAAAAGCTAAAAGTTCATATGTTAGTGATAAAATCAGAAATATTATAATAAAGATAGGTAGAAAAATGCCAGGAGAGGTATTCCTTGTTCACCCTTAACCCTCAATCTTTTGCATTTGTTGACTCATAGCATTCTTCATTGACATTGTGTATGAAATGTGTAACATAATATCAAACCCACAACTTTTGAGGCAACTCTTAACCCCTCACATGAAGAGCAATATGGATGTTACTTCATCAAAATCAACAGGTTTTAGTAAATAAATTGTGTGTTACAATAAAGATGACTAGGTAAAAAATCATTGCGAATAATGAAGTTTTCACAGGAAATGTTTAGCATTCCTGCTTAGTTTCTAGCTGTGTGGTGGAATAGAGCACTCACAGAGCCTGGCTGCAGAGAGTTTTCTGTCACTAATGTGCTCATAAAAAATGTGCTGTTTACAAGTGTTGGATCTGTAAATTGGCAGGTGACATCTCAAACTGCACAGTTCAAAACTGTTATCTCCCCACCAGTTAGCAATGTCCTGCTAGCAAATGTAAATATAGTTTCCAGGAATACAGCCAGATTGTCTACATCTCTAAGTGGATTTTCATGGAAGCTGTAGTACTTTTTTCAGTGTCTTATAATCATTTCTTTTTGTTGCTCTTAGGAAGGTTTTTGTTTTTTTTTAAATAGCTTTTGTAAAAGGCCAACAGGTGATAAGTGTGTTTCTTGTCTTAAGAAGTGATGTTTCGGTATTCCCTTGATTTGTTTCATTTACTACTCTGTGGTGTGTGTTGTTTATATCAGTGGTTATTTACCTGGTCCCTTAGTAACCTTCACTTTTCTTTGTAGGAAAATCTGTTAGGCTAGTTTTCATTGACAGATTGTCAATTAATTACTGAGTCAACAAAAATACTGGTCTCTATATTTTTAATGTGCTCACATCAGACTCTTTTGTCTTAGCTGTCCAGACTACTCTCAAGTTTACATACAGTGAAAAATATCCAGATGAAGCTCCTCTTTATGAAATATTTTCCCAGGAAAACCTAGAAGATAATGATGTCATAGACATTTTAAAATTACTAGCATTACAGGTAAGGGAATTGCAATTTAGTTTTGTAATGACCTTCTTGTCTTGGTCTTAAATTTCTACATTTAAGGATTAGAAAATGCTGTAAATGTGTGTAAATAGTACATTGGCAAGCAGAATTCATGATGCATAATCACAGAGCATCTTTTTGTTTTCCATAGCCATTTCAGTGTTGAATAATGGAGATTGTCCCAGTGTTCCTGTTTGAAACTCGGTCTGTTCACTCAGTGATTTAAAAAAAAAAAAAAGCCCAACAGTTACTTTAAGTTGTAGGCACAGTTCTGAGTTAGTTCGAGTATCTAGTCCCGTGGTGTAGCTAAAAATTCTAACATTAAACAAATTAAAACTGCCCCCTCTTTCCCTTTTTACTGGCTATTGCCTGCACGTAACTATGACTATTTTTTTTTTCTCCATCTCTTTCCTTAAATTTATAAATACCAATTATGGGTTATGACCTCTCTAAGAGGTGAGGGTTATGCAGAGGAAAAAATGGATACTGGGAAGTTCTTTTCTGCACTAGGTTTGTTATAAGGTGGGCTACCCACAGTATGTGCGGGATGTGTAGTTCACTTGTCCTTGGGTAGAGTTTACTTTGGAACTTAAGAGTAGAGAGTAGGGTAGTGTCTTAGATTTTCATTGTTGTGACAAAGTACCTGACACCCACAAATTAAAAAAAGAGAGGTTTATTTTAGCTCATAGTTCGTAGAAGTTTCAGTCCATAGCTGTCTGGTTCTAGGGCAGGGCAGCAGGGCATGGTGTAGCAGGCAAGAAATAGCGAGATATCCTCCTTCCTTTCCTTTTTATTCCAGCAATGGTGGGTCTTCCCTCTTCAGTAAATCCATCATCCACACCCAAGAATGACGTTAAACCAATCAGTGGACTAATTCTGTGCCACATACCCATGATTGAGTTATTTCCAAAAGCTCTATCAGTGCATGAGGCTTTATGGGAACATCTAGATATAAGCCATAACAGAAGAAAAATGAAGTCCTTATTCCACTATTGTAAAATCAGCAGTCCTAGTAGTTTGTTTTTAAGACTAGTCAGAAAACATGTATCTACCTTAGATGTGACTTGGATGTTCTTAGGATTGATGGGCCTCTGAATGTTGATTTTATAACAGAAGTACTTGGAGCTTTAGAAAAAGGCTTGGAAGTCTTTCAGGCATGAGTTTCTGCTGATCCAGGGCCCTGTTCACTCTATTATCCAGCATGAAATTATAATTTGCTTAACATGTTTCACTTGAAAACATTGCAGGTAACCTGAGGTAGTTACACTATAGTCAGTCAGTCACACACTTACATTCAGTCTGAGTGAATTTTTCCATGTATATTTGTATTTCATTTATACTCACTCAATCTGTTTTCATAAAGACAATTTTCTGCCGGGGATTTAGCTCAGTGGTTCCAGTGCCTGCCTCGCAAGCACAAGGACCCCAGTTCAATCGCCGGTGCAAAAAAAAAAAAAACAAAAACCCACAATTTTCTTCTTGAGTATCCTGTAGATTGAACCCAGGGTCTTCTCACTGAACTATATAGCCAACCTTTTCTTAGTTTTTATTTATTTACAAATTAATTATTTATTAATATTTATTTTTAATTTTGAGACAGTGTCACTAAATATCCCAGTCTGGGTTCAAATTTGTTACCCTCCTTCCTCAGCATCCCATAGTCCTGAGATTATAGGTGTGCACCACCTCGCATGGCTTCAAAAAGACATTTTAAGTCTCTTTAACAGTTGCCTGGGATCAAGATGTTTTGAGGAGGTGTTTATACTTTTTCTCCAAAAGCAGCATTATCTTTCAGTTATCAAAATAATTTATAAGAAAGAAAATACAGGAAGTCATGAAGAAAATAAAGATTACTCTTAATCCTACCAAGCGTGTATAAATATAAATTATTTGGTATGATGATGCCAGATTTATTTTCTATATTTAGATACATAGACCCTTCCCAACGCAAGTTAGATCTTTACCTAATGTTTTATACCACCCTCTTTTATATAACAGTGTGCATAAACATATGTGAATCATTGTTTTTGATAACTACATGCATGGTTCTGTATCTTTTAAAGAACGTCTTGGAATTATTTCTCACTTGTGCTTCATTTAATATATAATTTTTTTGACATTTTTGTTTATGTGTCATGAGCAGGTCCTCCTTTATATCTCTAGTGCTTGGCACATGAGGGATATGCAAATATTGAATAAAGGAAAAGAATGAATCACTGATAAGTGTACTAATCTGGCATCTTCTAGAAGTGGGAATGCTAAATGAAAAGTACATACCTACTTGCAATTTCAAACATCCTCCCAAATCGGCCTTCAAAATGATTATGCCAGTTTATGATCTCACCACAGTCACAGAAGTATCTGTTTATATGATAGCAGTTAATTTTGGCACATTGGCTAACATTAGATATTTTCACTTAGAAATAAAATAATAATAAGATGAGGGCTGGGGATTTAGCTCAGTGGTTGTGCTGCCTGCATTGCAAGAGCAAGGTCCTGAGTTCAACCCCTGGCACCTAAAAATAAAAATAAATAATAATAATAGTAAGATGAAAATTGTAGTTATAATTTTCATTTTTTCAAATACTAGTGATGCCAAATTAGTATGACTTCTGAATTGCCCAATTTCCATGTGAGTTATTTTTGCTTTACCATTGGAATGATTAGCTTCTGTAACAGATGTCCTAGTGGAATTTGTTTATGAGATGTGTCAAACACTAGGCTTCGTGACACCATCTTTGCTCTCGTAGATTTTATACTGCACTGGGGAATGTGGACTGGCAAACTAGAAACCAGTATCCCAGATTTAAAAAAAAAAATGCTGTGATAGTAAAGTACAGGTTTATATGGATAGACGCTAACAGGAAGCACTGCAGAAGCTTCCAAAGTGGAAGCTGAGACCTCAGGAAAGTTTGCCAGGCAATCAGAAAATAGAAGAAAGTAGAGGAATAAACTTAAATGAGAGAGAGATTGATTTTATTTCTTCCTAGAATGCCTAGTGATGCAAAATTAATTGAATTAAAATCTGAAGTTGGGTGGTGGTAAATGATGGAATTAAAGTGATTACTTTCTTCTTCAGAAGATTTTCCTAAACTGTTTAAAAAAGATGGACTTGATCCTCGTTAGAAGGGAAGCATTTGCTGGGTGTAGTAGCACATGCCTGTAAGTTTAGTACTTTAGGCAGGAAGATCCTCATGAGTTTGAGGCCAACCTGAACTACATAGCAAGACCCTGTCTCAAATAAACAAAAATTAGAGGCTTGACTGAGGAAGGCTGTGCACATCATGGCAGCCGGGAGAGGGAAAGGTACCCCTCAGAGTCACGACCTTCATGACTGTCTTCCTCTGCCCCGCAGGTCCCACCCCTAACAGCAAGTCAGAGTACACGAGGCTCTGGGGACCTCTAGATAAAATTACAGCATTGACATCAAGTCACTGTACAGTGGGTCATTGTTACACAGTACCAGTCTGGCACTCCAGAGAATTTTGTTTAGTCGGGAACTGGGGGTGATTAATCGTGTACAGATATCATAAATAAGCCCTACTGAACAGAAAGAATTACAGTAGTGGTCTGAAAACCAGTCCTTACAGAAGGCCCGTTCAGCATGTTTATTGTGGAAGTCAGCCTCCCAGAGAAGTGAGTGCTCGGTAATCCCACTCCTGGGACTGAGATTGTGGCTAGTGTCTGTTTAAAGAATGTTCATGTCTATTTTATTCTGTCTTCACTGACAACATCTAATAGTTTTTGAGTTACATCCCTTTTATGTGGTGATGCTTTTACATCTGGCTTTAAACATTTCATATCTAAACAAAAAATATAGTAAAGGTAAGTAACTAAAATACCCGCATTCTTTATCATTGTAATTTAGATGAGAAAATCCTTCTGGCCTCCAAATTCAATTAACTGTCAAAACTTCATAAAGAACTAATGTACTGAAGATGAGCGAGAGAAATGTTACTCGTTACTACAGGAAATGGCTCTCT